TATCGACACGCACCGAAACGACTCTGTCATGGGATCAGCTTCGATCACCTCAGGTTTCTCAATTCCTCGTCAAGCCTATGCAGCAACAGATTCGTGCCCAGCATTTCAGCCGTGCAACTCTGTATGCTCTCATGATCAACTGTCTCCAATTCACCAAAGAGGGTGAACGCTACCCAGGCAATGCAGGAATTAGTAGCACTCGTGCCAAGGTTTGCGAATTGCTGACTCTCAAGCTACTCAAAGAGTACAATGTCCGCGAGTTGATCGATGCTCTTGCCTATGATTTTTACCCACTTCAAGGTCTCCCCGGATCTCAAGCACCTACGTCTCCTCGCAAATCACCGCCGGCCAACAAGTTGCCTCTGATAGCGTCCCGAACGTCGACTCTCGAGGTCGCCATTCGAGCCTCAGCCAAGCACTTGCTTGCCCATCCCCTTGTCGTCCAACAACTTGAAGCTATCTGGAGCGGTGCGATTACTTTCCACTCGTCTGCTGATAGCTTACATCGGGAACCTCCACCAAACGCAGGCCTTAACTCGAATGGATATCTTGGGAAAGCGACCGATAGAACTCCCCTGCTTGGTGCAATTGCTCAGAAAGAAACGCATTTCACCCCACCAGGGCGTCGTACGGCGTCGCTCTACGACCCTCGACAAGCGTCTCTCCTCAAACTCTCCCGTCTTCGGGTTCCTCGATACAGATCTTTCCTTTCGACAATATCTCTCGCTGTTCTGATTGGATTGTTTCTTGCTGTTCTTGCTGAACGTTCGGTTCAAATCACAGGTCTGGAACTGATTTTTTGGTTCTGGAGTGCTGGCTTCATGCTTGACGAACTTGTTGGATTCAACGAGCAGGGGTTCGCGCTGTACATCTTGAACGTGTGGAATGTTTTTGACCTCGGAATCCTGCTGTTGCTCATTGTATACTACTGCATGCGAGCGTATGGCGTTTTCCTGGCTGACTCTCACCACATCTACGACAATGCCTATGATATATTGGCGGCCAATGCGATTCTGCTCCTCCCGCGTATCTTCAGCATTTTGGATCACTACCAATACTTCTCGCAACTTCTTATTGCATTTCGTCTTATGGCTGTCGACTTGGTGGCCGTCTTCACGTTGATCTTGGTACTCTGTAGCGGGTTCTTCGTGTTTTTCTCTTTGACAAAGAACTCGTTCGGTGCAAGTGATGTTGCCTATAAGATCTTTCAGATCCTGATGGGATTCACTCCTGCAGCATGGGAAGTGTAAGTCTACTTGCAAATATGAAACGAACTGAGATTAATGGTATACAGATGGGATGCGTACAATTGGCTAGGACGAGCCTTGTTGGTTCTCTTCCTGAGTATTTGTCATTTCCTTGTTGTGTAAGTTCTCACAGCACGCGTACTCTTTCTTTGCTAAACAGTTCAGGACAATTCTCATCACCGTTCTCACGAATTCATTCATGGCTATTGCGTCCAATGCCAATGAAGAGCACCAGTAAGTGTCCCTGTCCGCATAATGGGCCTGCTCTAATCGTGTTTAAGGTATTTGTTCGCTATCAACACAATATCTATGGTGAAAAATGACGCACTGTTCTCGTATATTGCCCCTAGCAACATTTTCGCGTGGCTTCTTATGCCTCTACGATATTGCATGCCGTTGAGAACCTTCGTGTGGCTGAACAGAACTGTCATCAAGGTGACGCACTTTCCCGTGCTGTTCTGCATTTACCTATACGAGAGATACTGGCTTGCCCCTTCTATGTACGAGGCAACTGACTTGGTGGAACACCCAATTCGGGAGCGAAGTCGGCACATCTCTTTCATGGATCCTGTAAGCAGAGCAGCCATCTTTAGTCCAAGCATTAGGGTTCGCGAGGAATCTGTGGCTGGCTTTCAAAAAGACCGGGCCCTCGAAGAGGTGTTCCGGCGCTTACCTGATCCCCCAACATTGAGGACACAAAGACGTCAAGAGAGGCGGAAGACGCAGACAGCAATTCGCAACTGGATGGATCAACACGACGATAATGATGCGTCGCCAGGGAATTGGCAAACGCCTGATGGTACTATGCCTCCCTGGCAACGAAGATCTAGCGTCGGTCTTGCTCGTATGACGAATCTTGGGCGTGTTTCGGACGTTAGATCGACAGCGAGTGATCCTGCTGATAGGATGTCTAACGTGGGAAACCCACTCCGGCCGTCACATTTCTCCAGGACTCGTCTGAATGCGGATTTATCCGAATACAAAGATCAGACTGATGCCGATGGCGATGACGAACTGGTGACAAATGATGAGGATGAAGATGATCATGTTACGAACGCTGGGCAGAGTCAAGTTGCTATAAGCCGTGGAATTCACGAGGAAGCAGAAAGCTACTTTGCGCCCAATGCCAATAACTTTGGAAAGCTGGCATCCTCTGTGAGCTCTTCTGGAAAGAGGAGCACCTCTGGTAAGAATGTTTCTCAGACACCGCGACCCAAACGAGGAGCACACAACCGAACACTTTCTACAAATACGATACTCTTCAACCCTCAGGATGTCAAGCAAATGCAGAGGGCGTCGTCGATATCGCCACCTCTGCCTGGCCAGTCACGTCCACGAACTAGTGGACGAATAACCACTGGTGAAAAGACACCAAGACGCAGTTCACCTCGCCGCTCTATGTACGTCGCCAACACGAAACCTCGACCAGTGATGCCACCACGAGGTATGACCGAGGCTGGTGCTGTTAGTCGATCAGCCCTTCTCAGTATTGAGCCACGAAATCGTCCTAAGGACATTAGAAGGTTGTCCTCGGTTGATCTGAGTGCGATGTCTGATCAAGTTGTGGGAGATCATATTGGTGCGATGCCTGGCAGCTTCCAGACACAACTTGCAACTTTCATGAAGGATCATCGGTTACGGACTGGCGGTGGTAACGACTCCGGCGACCGCGACAGAATGGGAAGGCTGGTGTTGGCGAGAATGAAGACACTGGAGGAAAGCTTTGCGGATGTGATCAAGGAGATGCGGGACTTGAAGAATTCTTCAACGGTCCCTACAACGCGGCGTAACTCGGGAGATGAGTCAAATATGGAGCCGATGATTGAGGTGGCTGGACGAGACCGCTTAAGAAAGTACCATATCGACAACAGCCAACGCAAGATCGCGTCTAAGCGACCCGTCAGCCGAAGAAGCCTTAAGGAGGAGAAACCTGGCATGTGGGATTACAAGGGGAAGGGGAAGGAGGTAGTGTATGAGTCCGACGATGAGGCAGAGACTGATGACAGTCTGTTCAAGAAAGGGGGCTCATTGTAAAGCATAGGTGGCGTTTGGGCATAGGCATAGCTTTGTGGTTCGGTACGGTAATGAATGCATAAGATAGGAATACTCTGTAATGAGGTGGCAATTAAACGGTATCTTGACCGCTGTATGAATAGAATGCATTTTGTGCTCGGAGTAATTGTCGAGAATGTGGTTGTTAAGGTACCTATCCAAGTATCTTTAGTCTCTGCGGGGAAGCAAGCAAAATGGGCTTGTCAAAGAAACTTTCTTCAACAAGGGCAAGAGTTACGATATTCAACGTTCACAGGTTACCTTAGCAGTAGCAATTACTGGGGTGACCATGTAATCATCTACTAACCTAGCAGCGTAGGTAAGATAGCCTCGGGGGGGGAAAAAACACCGAACTTGAGTACTTTATGAGATCACTTTTATTATATAGAATAAAATAAAATAAAATTCTTTTTCTATTAATATATATATACTTATTATTATTAAGATTTTCTTCTTTTATTAATAGTATTTATATACTATTAATTACCTATTATTAAGAATAATTAGGTAGATATTTTGCTATATACAGTTAATCTCGAGTTCGGTGTTTTATTTCCCCCCCTAGGGTAGGTACCCATTTAGAGTCTTGAGAACGCTTCCAGTAATGCTACCCTAAAGTTAAGATTGGAAAAGGAAAAGGAAAAGCACTAACACCGGAGGTTTCTTTTCGCTAGCGTTCGCACTGGTGTCCGTTTTGATGTTCAATAGTCTAATAATAATTCGTTGTTTATTTTTGCCCAGGTAAGTCCGTCTGTTTATCGCCACTTATAAGAAGATCAGGCAAGACTTGAATGGTCACACGTGCATGATTCCAGGCTGATTGGCTGGGTAGACCAAGCTACATTGGTGTGTTGATGCTTGCAATCTCCTTGTTTCCTTGTACGATAAAGACGTAACTGTAGAGTCACTAGCAAACTGTCCTGCATAATCCTTGTCTGAAAATGCCAGTTGAGTGGTGTTTTGCTTGTTGACTCACAAACGGAAGAGCCGTTGTCTCGTCCTAATAACGTCTGGAGGTCCCCAGTTTTAGTGTCACTCGAAGTACCTACTAAGGTATTGTAGATGCAAGTGTGGGAGGCTGAGCTGCCACACCTGATATCGCATGGCAGGGCAGCCTCAAGGCAACCACCCCTCCAACAAAACATTCACACTCAGGCATCAGCTCTTGGTTATGGAGGGGTAAAAATGGAGGTATTTCATTGGCATATACCTTACAGGCATGTGCAGGTACTTTCATAGGGCTGTATTGAAACTTACCTTAGGTTGCTACCTACTATAGGTACCTACCTAGTACTTAGGTGCCTGCCACTTGCCATCGTCAGCCCGAATCGGTGCTTTCCTCTCTCACAACTCCTCATCTCGTCTTACATTCATCTATTTCCTTCCTTCCTTCTATCAACCAACGGACTAGAGCATCTGCATTTCCTTGAGAAATCGCCTATCTATTTCTTTGCGCATATTATTTCTGTCTTACCCAAGTAGCCAACCTTGGCTGGCCTACATAATCTGCGCTATCCACCCTGCCGACACAGCTTCATGGTTGTGCTGCCTGCGATTCTTGATGCGAAACCAGATTTCTGCCTTTTAATTCTCTATAACTCAGTTGTTCAACTGCCTCTGATCTCCGATATCAACTGATCCAGAGATTGACTGTACTGGCGTTTCTCGACTTTTGGCGTGAGCCACGATTGTTTAACAACAATGGAGGTCCCGAATGACTGGCAGATCCAACAAGCACATGTTGCCTGGGATGATCTCGCTAATCAAAGCAACCAACAACCTCAAAATAGCACTCAAACCGCTCAGCAAAGCGAGCCACAACCGCAGTCTCAGCCTCAATGTACTCATCATCATCTTGATATAGATGCTCACATGGCATCACCCGCACCAGCCCCTCTATCAAGCTGGACGGGTCCTTACTTCAACAAAGCAAACAATTTCTATGGTGACCATGTGAAAAATCTCTTGCCAGAAAAGGGTGTCGAACAGACTCGGCTGTTTGAACTCTATCGACTGCATATGGTGTCCTTCGAACTCAATCAGGGGGACACTCTTGTGTTTATCGACTATCCTGTCCATCACAAAGGCGTTCTCGACTATACCGACTGCAATGGCATAGTCTATAAGTCACAGAAGTTTCGAGTTCACTCGAGCAAGTTGCTTGAGACTGGTTCTCCCAAATTCGCTGAACTCCTTGGCCCTACATACCAATTCAAAATCCAACGCCGTCGTAAGATGGTCAACAAACTACCCGACGGTATCAAGTATTTGCTTGATCTGACTCCACCCTCGGAAGGAGATGAGTTGGTGCTCCAGATGACCGAGCTGTCTTTAACTCCTGGGATCATAAAATGGTGGAGCTCACATATTCTTAATGGCGTCGATTCATTCTTGGTTTGTGGTAAGTAGTTGTACCCAGCTTGTAACGCATCGTCTGACACGCAAAACAGGCCATGATGATATTTGTAAGTGCAACAGACAGCCGAAAGGCGCAGAAAACAACAAAGATGCCGATGTAGATGCCGATGTAAATGAGCATGACAGCGCAACACCCACCCAGGGGAACGCAACTACCGGCTACAGGCTTAAACCACTGAAGCTTGATCCAGAGCGTGCTCTGCAGCTGAAAGCCAAGAATGAAGATGCGTACGAGACACCTCTATATCGGCACATTCCAGATTATTGCCCGATTCGCCACCGAAATGGCATCGTGAGGTTGCTCATGTTGATCGAAGGCAAAGGATGTATCCTAGATTCGGCTCCCAGATTGTTCACCATCTTGAAGTTGAGTTGCCTCTTCGAATGCAGCTCCATGCTTACCGATCGTGTTACCCAATGGATAATGCACGGCCAAAACACTGCTTTTATCGAGGTCTTGCCCGAAGAAGCCTTGCAGATTGGGTCTCTGCTCAAGATTCCTCCTGTAATGGACTCTGCTTTCAGGATCCTCGTCAACGAGCTCGCCCTCAAACTGGCTGACACCAACCCAGCGAACCATAATGTCCACAGCCAAACGACGGTGTTTGGGAGACGACTGGGTCAACTTCCCGATGAACTCAGCAACATTGTGCAGCATGGGGCACAAGCACTCGTCGATAGAGTATCAGAAATCAACACGACCTATAGGAACCCAAGCTTGTTCGCTTCATGGGACATCGATGAATGGTCCAAGCTGCAAGTGACCGAGCAGCTCCTCGAACAGGAAAACACACCACTTAGTCAAACTGCTTTGGAAAAGCTTCGTCTTCTCATGAGTGCCCTGACTTACGAATTTACCCACGCATGGGAAGAGGCGATAGACTCAGCACCAGTGGATAGTTATTCAACATACAACGGGATAGACCGAGACCGCCTGACATACGTGGAACCCAAGGATTTCGACAATATGACTTTCATAATGATGTTGTTTAATCCAATTCAGATGCTACTCTGTGCTGTGCCCTACAATGACCTCGGTGTTGAACTGGATAATGAAAGATGGAATCACAGCAGGTGCAAACTGGATGGATACAAGCATAAATCATACAGCGATCTTATGCAAGAGGCAACAACTGCCCTCGACGACTTTCTCGCATGCACGCCGAGGCTATCCAACAATCTGTTATGGAGCCGTATTCTTGCACTAGGAGACCGCGAATTCCCAGAAATGGGTATGCGTCCCTCACGCAGGCCTATCGTATCACTGGATACCCTTGAAGCTGCCGTGAAAGATCGGCTGAGGCCGCTGACTCTGTCGTGGAGACGAGAAAATTTCTGGCCTCCTCTCAACCTGACCCGCCATTTACTCCTCACTCTCACCGAAAACGAACTCAAATACCTTCCTCTGTGGTGTGGAGGTAATGATGACGGAAGCGGAGGCGTGTTTGGGGATGCAATTCCCTCAGCAGACTTGCTGGTGGCACCTAATGGCCCTGGACCTGGTTTCCATACAGGTTACACAATTTCAACCCCTTCGAGTGTCTGTGGTTCCATCATCGAGGACATGGATGCGCTACGATTCTGGGGTAGTACGTCTGCTGCTTCGATGGCCCAAGACAGACCCACCGCGTTGGAGTCTTCTTTTACCCTTGGCGAGTCTGATGTTGAGTTCACCAACGCCAGATACGCCATGCCTGCGGACCATCAGACAATGGGCGAAGCGGTCAACATGACAGTCGAGACAACCGACTCCGATTCAACATCCGTAATCGAAGCCTTGAGTTCAAAAAGAGAGGACAGTGATGATGATGCCTGCATGTGGGACTCTGATGATAGTGATGATACGATTGCCTAATGCTGTTTTTTGGAACACGATAAAAGGGTAACAGCACCAGGATCCAAAGAAAAAAGTGTATACTCTCTTCTGTAAATGGGAATGCATATCTCTGAGATACTTGAGCATATAGATTGGGAAGCATCGCTACTATCACTGGCTTTTGGTCTCGAGTGAAATGGTCAACAGCTCTTGTGAGTGCTCATATATGGTGTTGCTCCATGTACTAGTATTTTCTATATCCTGCTATGCATGTGCCTAAACGCCGAAAATCTATACGATATTTCCAATACAGATCAACCTCTATTGAGAGTATTTCCTGCTCCCTTGGGATTATGATCAACGAACTCATCCCACTCGCGCTGCTTGTACGTCTCACGATCTATAGCTTCCATATCGTCCTCATCCACTACCTTCTTCGGTTCCACACCGCCCTGGAGAATGTTACCTTGTCTCCTCTCTTCCTCGAGATACTCATCGATGGACATGGTAGGTAAGTTGTGCCCTGAGCGAAACACATCTCTTGACATTTGATCCCGTGAACCGAGCAGCGTAAATGGCTGCAAAGGTTTGCCTTGTTTAGACAGTAGCGGACCAGCTTGGAGAGAGTGTAGACGGCGTAGAGGTTGGTCAAGTCGGTAAGAGTGATCTTCGGGAGATGGCGCATTCGTAGCTGAGGGCGCAAGCGGTCGAGGTGCCTGCGCAAGGATCTCTACCTCGCGGTTTAATGAGTCCAACGCTTGAAGCGCAGAATGCACCGCGAAAGTGATTTGTGTCAGGTATAGCTCCCGCACGAGCTCCTCATCGCCATCGTCCACATATCGTGGATTCCGTCTCAACGTTTCCAACTTCTCTTTTAGCGCCTTTTCAGCGCGATAGTTCGCAATCTTGCCATCTCGTCGCGCCGCGGCATCATTACTAGCAACAACAGCAAATCTCTCAGGATCGTCGCGATATCGCTCTAGTACGCGATCGTAAGGCTTTTTCACTAGTGCATAGCTATCGACGGTGGCGAGGAAGCGCTCGTAGGCGGCGCGAGACTTGGAGAGGACCTCTAGGCGTTGGTCAGGGCTTTGATTGGGGGTCTTTTGTACGAGCTCCGCAACGTGGGCGTCGAGAAGCAGATAAGGTAGATCTGATGTAGAAACGTCCTCAAGTCCTTCGTTGGAGGAAAAGAGCGCAAGAGCTGAGATCTGGTCGCGCGCAGAAGAGTAGAGGGACAGTGCAGCCTCGAGATCGGAGCGGTAGGAGGGCGAAGTTGCCTCGAAGGCGTTGTCCAAAGCGTGGCGCTTTTCTTCGGCGGCTTCGTAGAGAGAGCGCAGAGATTGGGGTTCTTCTGAAGACATAATAAGTATGATTTGCTGTGATGTGAATTTTGTTGAAGTAAATAACGAGGGGCGAATGGAGGGGATGATAAATCTAGATGAGACCCTTGGATTCTTCAACGAGAACCCCGCGCTAGCCTTCAGCTCTTATCGATAAGCAACGTACGCTTTAGGTAGGCGACATTCACTGTACCTAGGTACCTAGCTTCAACTTCATTGAAATGGGACAGGGATCATCAAGAGTCAAGTGACATAACTACAAGCTAACATGAAGAAAGTGAAATGCTATTCATATGCGGATATCGAATAAAAACCACGCCCAGGCCCCAGATAGCAAATACCTCACATCCGTTGACGCCCAGAACCCCAACCGAATTGTTAACTCAGATTCCAAATCCCCTCCTCTGTCAATATGTCCTTCGCTTGAAGTGGTTACCACACAATGTTTTTTACTCAGCAAACAAGAAATTACAGCAAAGAACCTGCCTGTGGTGGTTCTAGAATAACTAGTACTCCGTTCCTTTCATGGGCTCAAGCACAGGTCGAATAGTCTAATCCTCGTCATCGTCGACCTCGAAAGGGTCGTCACTCTCATCATCTTGCTGCATGACTGATGAGTCGTCGTCGACAATGATTGGTCGTCTCGAGGCAGCGGCACGTCCTGGTCTCGCTCTTGAGGAAGCCTTAGGAGGGGGCGAATCAGGGTCAGCCATATCCTCATCTGAATCGTTGTCGAGGACAGATTTCTTGACAGCCTTCTTAGCAGCGTAAGCCTTTGCTGCTGGCGATAGAGTGGTCTGTTTAGTTGCTGGACGCGAAGCAACCTTTGATGCAGCTGTCTTGGTTGCTCTTGGGGCAGCCTTCGGCTTCGCTGGCTCTTTGCTCTTCGCAGCAGTGGGACGACCACGGCCCTTCTTGACAGTAGCAAGACCGGCTGGTGTTGGATCTTCAGAATCCGTGCTGGTAGGCTTAGACTTGGTCGCAGCTGACTTGGATGGGGCAACAAAAGGCTCATCGTCAGAAAGGAAGCTGTCTATATGATCATCCTTGGTGGCCGTCTTGTGCGGCGACGACTTGGCGAGAAGCTCATAGTTGGTATCGTCAGGACTGTCGTCATCGAAGTCGAAAGCTTTGGCTGATTTGGGCCTCGACTTGGACAGTCCACTCACGCTGGCGTTGCCTTGGCTAGAGTCTGGTCGGCTCATGGCATGTAGACTAAACCTGCCCCTTTCGCGGTCACCAGCTGGCTTATCGATGCCCTTGACCAAGGCGCCAACATCGCCAAGCATCTGATCGTCGTCACTCTCGGAGTCATCATCGATAATCGTCTTGACCTTGGACGCCGCCGCTCGTTTGACCCGCGGATTCTCCAACGCCTCAGTTGGAGGTGATTGGGAGTTCTTGATTGCAGGTGCGGATGATTTGCTACGGCTGAGAGCGGCATAATCATCGTCAGAAAGATCCGACAGCTCCATAACATCAGCACTGGGTTCCTTCTTGACCTTTGGCTTGGAACTGAACATCTCAGCAAACCGCTGTGCACTCTTGGTCTCTACCTTGGGCGCTGGTTTAGCGGTCGCCTTCAGCGCTGTAGCCTTTGGCCTTCCACGACCCTTCTTGTCAGGCTCATACTCCTCGTCATCCTTGACTTTGCGGCCACGAGCGGTGCCAGCACCTATCTTTTTAGAAACGCGGCGGCCCAAGCGACGGATGCTCGTCTTGATCTCAGCATCAACTGCAAGCTGAGTCTCCCATTCGGCCATGAAGTCATCAAGGTCGCGACACCAGAGATCCTTCTCACTGAGGGCAAGGAGTTCATCGTGCTCCGCCTTCTTCTTCTCGATAGCTTGCTTGAGTTTCTCAAGACGCTCAGCTGTCAGGGACCAGATGGGCATCTGTAACACGTTAGTTGACTAAACATATCTAATGACGACAAGTACTCACTGAGAGGAGGTAGTCGTAGTCGCGAGCACCACCCTCCAAATCACCCTCCACGTCCTGGTTCTCATCGGCATCATCATCTTCTTCATCTGCGGTCTTCTTCTTCTCACCACCAGGGGGGAAAGCCTCATAATCACGATCTCGAAGTTCTTGCACCAGCACGGTCTTCTTCTTCTTACCAACCACAAGCTGTCCATCGATGATTTCCTTGATGAACCGGGCTTGATTTTTGAGCTTGCGATAGTCCGCATGGAATACGCCCAACCAATGTTTCTACGGAGAGTTAGCTAGGCCATCTAAAAGTTGGTTCAGAACTTACTTTTCGGTCAGTATACATGTCGAGACGGTATACATAGAATTCCTCAAGGATATCCTCCACTTTCTCGTACTTGCGAATCATGCCTCGGGTGTCGAAAGCAACCAAATTCGAGGTGGCGACTTGCTTGGTCAACTTGAAGCGTTCGAGGACGCCTTCTTCAAGGACCTTGCCCATATGCTTGTCATCGACAGCGATCTCAAAATGAACAGTGCTGTGATCGTTGAATTCCTTGTAATCCTTGATCCAAGCTGGGCCATCGACGCCAGCGATAATTTTCTCCAGCTTGCCCTTGAAGTCATCGGTCCACATACGAATAGGCAACTCGGTGATCACAACTTCGTTATCCTTCTGTTCGTTGTGATAGGCAATACCATTGAACTTGTATCGGTCAGGGCCAGCAACCTCAGGTGTACCCTTCCAGCCACGAAACCAGGGCATCATGGTTTCGAAAGGCTTTTCCTCAAGATCATTATCGTCCAAGCGACCCATTCGACGCTTCAGATTTTTGACAATATCCATCGGGTGATAGTTGGGAATGGACGTGCTCCAACCTGTACCAATGCCATCGGCACCGTTGACCAGAACCATGGGGAGGATTGGAGCGTATACCATTGGCTCGATTTTCTTGCCGTCTTCATAATGATGCATCAGGTTTGGCTCATCCATGGGGTGGAAGATCTTGCGGGCGAATGGAGACAGACGAGTGAAGGTGTAACGAGGACTGGCAGCATCAGATCCACCGGCAAGTCGAGAACCGAAGTTTCCACTGGGTTCCAGACAGTTGATGTTGTTTGAGCCGACGAAGTTCTGGGCCAGGCCGATGATAGTCTGTTGGAGAGACTGTTCACCGTGGTGGTAGGCAGTCTGCTCAGAGACATAACCAGCCAATTCAACGACCTTCTTGTCTTTGACGATGTTTCTCTTGAAACAGGCATATATGACCTTACGCTGACCCGGCTTGAAGCCATCTAGCACCGAGGGGATGGATCGCATGTTATCAGCCATACTGAACAGAATAAGTTCTCTGTTGATAAAGTCGGAATATGTGATTGACTTGGTTGAGTGATCGAGGTATGTGCCCGGCACGAAGTTACCAAGCCACTCCTTTCTGGCATCTGCTTTCTTCTTGGAGAAAGCCAGCTCCAGTAGGTCAGCTTCCTCAGGCTTCATGGTGTCGAATTCCTTCAAATGATCATCGAGGTTGGTGAAATAGACTTGTGCATCTTCGTTGGAGCTTGTTCCCAGACCCTTGAAGTATTTGGAGTGCCATCGAGTGAGTTCTTGTTTGTGACCTTCCTTCCACTCCTCATATTCAGGCTGTGTGAAGAATGACTTTAATCGCTGGGGCTTCTTGGGGTTTGGACCCTGCCAAACCTTGACGATAGGTGTGATGAACTCTCGGAAGAAGTCAGGGATTTTGAGAAGCGATGGAAACT